CACCTCGCAAGGTTTATTCTATGGTGCAAAAGCTCTGTCATGTGTATACCAAATGGATGACAAGTGATGATGCATGGAGACGCTGATTTTTCGACAATAAGTAAAAAAAAACTTACAATGAACGTGACCCATATCATTTCCGGGTACTTGAGAGGTAGTTCAAGACGTATGGTGTTGTCTTCAAACACAAGCATGATGTGAAGTACTAAGTAGAAGAAAAGACTTAGCGATTTTTTTGACTCTTGGGCCATCGCAACATACAGATATACCCTTCGAGCATGCCTGTACGCTGGTTAGCGTTGAGTTTGGAACACTGCTTGGACGTGTGCAGTTAGCTGGTCAGTACATATGTCTAAAGTATAGTTTGGGTCTGTTTACCACGCATGTCTTCTATCTGTCGGTCCAGTTTTTTCCGAAGTCAAACAGCTGTGACCGCCATATTCCCCAAGTCTAGTTTGTGTACAGATATACTACAAGGTATGGTTTGTGTCTAGGCAGACAATTCATCCATGTCCAGATAGGGTCTGGACAATTTCTTGTTTCCACAGTGAATGTGTTTGTCCAAGATCTTAAGCAGCGCATCAAATTCAATGGGTCAGTGGAGAGCCTGGCCATCGACACTGCCAACCTGAACTGGGAAATTGAGCCTTAGGAGGTCCATCCACTCCAATGCAAGCAGAATAAGATCCTTGAAGTAGTTGTCAAACTGTATTGTGATTGCAGCTTTGCTGTTGTCCATTGTATAGATTGCTCCATGAGTACTTCAATGCCTTGAAGAAGACCTTGCAGTAGGTCTACCATTGTCAAGAGCTCTACAAAAAATCTTATATCTTCAGGCCACCCAGGGAAAGGTTTCATTCACATCTGACCTCTGGTCAGATTCTAACCTTCGCCCATTCATGGCCATGACTGCCCACTGGATCGCTAGGGCAGATCAGCGTTCAGCACTCATCTTGAGGGCAGCGCTGATAGGCTTCCACCACATTCCAGGAAGTCACAGGTTATTTGCTAGCATCAGTAATCTTGCATCTCCTCAATTGTGCCGGTGTGACTGAAAAGGTCAGTGTTCAAGTGTACCATGTAATATGCTCTGACTTTGATTAGACTGGTCATTTCACTTTGGACAATGCAGCAAACAATCAGGTTGCCATGGAGGAGCTCGTGCAAAAACTGTATTTTTGTGGGATTGATTTTCATCCAATCAATCGCAGAATACCTTGCTTCCCTCATATTATCAATGTTTACCACAAAGCTGACTTTTTGCTCATGGACGAACATTGGGTAATTGGCAATTGCACTGTCATCAAGACAGAGTATGTCAAAGCTGTGATGGGGAAAGCTCTCAGCAGAGCTAGAGACGTTGTGCGCACACTTTGTGCTCAAACCAGCGACACAATTCTTTCAGGGACACCATTGTCACATCGATGAGGCAACCTGTTGTGATTTAGTTTATATCATGCTCAACCGTTTACAAATCCTTCGCCAGGTGAGGTATCACTCACTAAATGTCTGCCATGCACTAATAGTTGGTCCAGGCAATAGATCTATCCTTTGACTCTCCCACTCAATGCTGAATCAGCAAATTTAAATTAAATTCGATGGAGTGGCAGTTCCTGCAGGATGTCGAAGTGATCCTAGAGGTTAGTTCTGTCATATTCAAAACTCATGTTCCATTTTATTATTTTAAACTAGGCGCCCCATGCTGCCAAACGATGCATGTTGGGTGAACACACTCCCTGCCTGAGTGGTGCATTTCCAGCATTTGAAACATTGATTGAGTGGTGGAAATTTTTAGCTTGACATGTCTGTCCCACACTGTGAACCTCTTGTTCAAATAGGTATAACTTGGGCAGATAAGTATGACAAGAAGATGGGCACTACAAAAGCCTATGCAGTCAGTATGTGTGAGTCTGGTATCCTTCAGTAATGTTTGGTTGCTCATGACTGCATTTATAGTTGTTGATCCTGCGATCTGAATGTTGTGGGTCCGGAGTCATTGGGAGGCACAACTGCTTGCAGATGTGGAGAAACATATAATTGCTCTGGTACATCTATCAAACCAATAACAACTTTAAACTGATGTTATCAATACAGATCTATCAAAAGTGAATTACAAATGGCTCGTCATCTGCAGAATCTCCAGCTAATGAAGCAACACCTCAGCAACAACCACACACACTAGGCTCATGCCTTTATGGGCTTCCTGATATTGATGTCCTGCCACGTCACAGCAACAACACCCAGACAGTCGAACAAGAATTTGAGGCCTACATCATGGCTAATCTCAGCCCCAAGGGAACAGACATACTTGGATTCTGGGCAGTGAGTGTCTCCTATCTCTGCAAGTTAAATCATCATCATTGACCATGAGGTGTTGATCAGGTCTCACAGACCATATTTCTGACACTATGGCATTGCGATGGACCATCTCCCAATACAGGCCTCTGCCATTCCCTGTGAGTGAGTATTTTCGTCCAGTGGTGAAACCAACATGAAGAAACATAATTGTATGATCCTGGTCCTGATAGAGGCCCTGCAGATGGTAAAGTTCCTCCTGAAAAAAGAACGACTTGACTTTACAAAAGGTTGGGCAGCATCACAAAAAGATATGGAGTACAAGATTTTGGGCGAAGGAGATGAGACTAACAATCTCTTGACATTTTCCAGCAGTGAAATCATCGGTGATGTATGTGATACTCTTCTCAGAGCTATCGCAAAGGAAGAATGCAACGACATTGATGATGTTCCTACCACCTATGACTTCTGATGTTTTTCTTCCTTACACATTTTTTGCAAATTTTTTTTCATTCCTTCTTTATTATCCTGACTTCTGACTACCTGGCATCTTGCTATACTTCTGTGTCAATTGTGTGCTCACACTGAGATGTACTGACTTTAAGCTAGGTATCGGGCTTGGTTCTAACTTTCCTTTGGTATCTGAATTGATTCTCATGATATTAGATCCACTGCCACTGCTGCAAGTGTGTTGGTGCTGGTGTAAGTTTGGTTTGGGTGCAGGCCCAAGTGTCACTGCAACTACAACCACACTTCAACTGCTACTGTGGGCATAGGATTAGGTGCAGGCAGGGACAAAGTCATAGAAATCATCAGTAAGCTGCTACTGCAGACATGGGATTAAGTGCAAAGGGGGGTGAAGTCATAGAAATCACTAGCAAGCTGGTGCCAGTGTCCAGGTGCAGGCCCAAGTGTTATCGCGACTGACTGCTACTACTACTGCAGGCATGGGATCAAATGCAGGCAGAGGCAGGCAGTGTGCAGTACCACTACTGCTGCACATTTATAACACAGGTTGGTCTTTATATCTAGCTTGTGAATAGTAATACAGTGGCTCAAAAAAGTGTCCCAATGTTTGTAGGTTTTCATGTAATTGTGTTATTGCGAGCCAGGGTGTGAGAATCTGACTAAGTCAAAGGGAGGTCCCAAAAAGCTCCGCTTCTCGGCTACAATTATGTCCCCTATAGCGTGAGAATCCATTGACGCCGTGCGAAGATATGGCTATTTTAATTAGGTGACTCATTGGGACACTTTTTTGAGTTTGAATCAATTATACATAATCTCTATAATTCTAGTACTTAGTGTTTCCTCCCTTAGCTTTAATGACTGCTGCTACCCTCCTAGGCATACTTTCTATCAATTTCTGACACTCCTCCTTAGCAATCTTTCCCCACTCTACTACAACTCCTCCCATAACTGAAATAGTCCATTAGGTGGGTCTTGATAGGCAGCAAGCATTCTCTTGAGTAATTCCCAAAGATGTTCAATGGGATTGAGGTCTGGAGACTGTGCTGGCCATGATAGGACAGTAATATCATGGTCCTCAAACCATTTGGTGGCCAACTTTGAGGTATGCTTGGGGTCATTATCTTGTTGGAAGATAATGTCTTCTTCATCAATACCTGATTCTTGCATGCTTTTGAGCAGACACTCCTCCAGAATGGAGACATACTGCTCTGCATTCATCCTCCCCTCCACCTCACATAGAATTCCCACCCCATGCCACCCCATGCAGCCCCACACCATCATATTTCCTCCTCCAAACTTAAGAGTACCTTTCACTTCTTTTTCTCCAAGTGGATCTCCTGCCTTTTTCCAAACATACTCTTGATCATCTGACCCCATCCTATTTATTTTAGTTTCATCTGACCAAATAACTCTCTTCCAGTCCTCTATAGTCCAGTGCTGGTGCTTTAAAGCAAATGCTAGTCTCCTTTTCCTATAGGCTGGTGACAGTAGGGGTTTCTTCTTCTTGACTACAGCTTTAAGATTGGCTTCCTTGAGGGTGTTCCTAACTGTTTGAGTGGAGACAGTGGTAGTGATGATGGAATTGATGTATTTTGTGGCTTGAACAGCAGTAGAGGCCTTTCCAGATATAATATGATGAACAAGAGCTCTTTTGTCATGCAGAGTAAGTTTAGAAGGACGACCCATTTTGACATTTTCTTTGTTGGGAATATTCTGGTTGATAACCCTGGCACTAGTTGACTTCCCCAGACCAGTTTTGGAGGCAATCTGCCTGATAAATAGACCAGAGGTGGAGAGAAAAAGGATATTATCTCTTTGAGAAGAGGAAATAGACTTCATGCTGATTATAAGGGACATGATGTTATTGGAAGGGTTTATATATGTACAGGATATTAAAATGAGACCATATTGTCAATATGGGACCATTTATATATATATTTGTAAATGGTGTCATGTCTAAATGATCTGATTTTCATATTTTAATAGAAACTCAAAAAAGTGTCCCAATGAGTCACCTAATTAAAATAGCCATATCTTCGCACGGTGTCAATGTATTCTCACGCTATAGGGGACATAATTGTAGCCGAGAAGCGGAGCTTTTTGGGACCTCCCTTTGACTTAGTCAGATTCTCACACCCTGGCTCGCAATAACACAATTACATGAAAACCTACAAACATTGGGACACTTTTTTGAGCCACTGTATTAATTGTAAAGTGAGAAAAGACGCAGATATGCATCACATTATCCCTATTTGATTGATCATTGCATCACCAGATATGAACAAAGACAAAAATGCCTTACCTTGGCTTTCTTTCCTTTCCGATGGGAACTCACAACAGCAGAGCCTGTACTGTCTGAAATACTAGTATATGATAGAGGAGGCTTCTAAATATTTGACATCAGCCCCAACTGTTTGGATAGAAACTTGAGCTTACTGAGGGACAGCCATGGCCTTTTTGATGTGATTCAGGAGCAAGAGGGTTTGCTGAGATATTTGGCGCGAGGGTTGTGGAGCCCTTAAGTAGGTTTGTCCATGTTCGGGCCTCCGGAACTGCACCAACTTTCTCTAGTTGAGCATTCCCTGTACCTGCACCAAGCGACAACACCAAACCAGCTTTATATGCTGCACATGCCTTCTTTCCTTGCCCAGTAACTGCTGTAATGTGAGATTCCATGACTTTGCACTTTGCCTTTACTTTTGGGGGCTAGACGTAGCTTGAGAGCAAGGGAGCATGATTGACACTAACAAAAGGTAGGAATGTCAGAAGAGAAATAAGCAACAAGACTCAGACAAAACTCACTCAACTCTTAAGGGACTTGGCTGAACCAAGCAACTTATCAGGATTAATATTGTGCAATATGCGCACCAAAGTTACATGGAAATTGTTGGGGCCAAATTTCTCTCTCCCCACTTTTCTCTCCCTCCTACTTTTCTCTCCCTCCCCACCTTTCTCGCTCCCACCATCTTCCCACCTCCAAGTTAAAGGTCTCACCACTCTCCTCCACTAGTTCCACCTTATGAGTGTCTCCAATCTCATATGTCATTTATCTGGTATGATTATACTGACCATACGAGTCTAGAATAGTGGGATGGTTTCATGTTTAATCTGTATCACAGACTGTGTTGGGACAGTATGAGGCTGCAGTAGGTCATAATAACATTTTTACGCGCATATATTCATATCTAGTGCAGAAATGTGATGAGGAGATGACAGAACTTATAGGTCACTGTTTTTAACAGAAACCTAGCATCAGCTCAGTGCGAGGTAAGTCGTCGGTCCCCATGCACCGACTTGCTGATGAACTTATTCACACTAGAAATATGAAACTGAGGACTATTGGCGCGTGACTTTTGTTTGTTTGTGATGCAGTTCTAAACCGTTCACTTGCAACAGGTTGCCAATGATTCTTGAACTTCTGAGACCTGAATTTTGTGCTTACTATGGAGATCTCACACCAGCTCAATGAAAGGTGTGTTGCTACTTTATTTCAGGCATGCAACAAGACCTATTAGCATCCCATTTCAAGTGTATTAACACCCAGTGCAATGCATATCATTTGTCGTCCCATTCAAGCACGTTTGCAAGGCAACTGGTGGGCACACATACAATCATATATAGTACTATTTGAGCATATTTTGAGATAGACCATGCATATGTTCAAATATGATTAGAAAATGTTTGTGCAGAGACAAACATAAATGGACATCTGCGAGTTTACCCCGTCTTATTTGAAATGTGATGTAAGTTTCACACTCTATATAACATGTGATGAGATCTGTTTTTATTTTTGACCACTGCAAAAATCACATCTCAACTCCAAGTTTGATAACTTTCTCCTCTTCACAGATTCGACAGTCCACCATCATTCAGACCATGTTTTTTCACTGGGATCTGGTGGCTCATCTTTTCTGTGATTGTTCTCAATGCATGTATGTCCTCCACACTCTTGTCTGTCAACCTCTTGTGCAACAACCATTCAGGGGACAGCTCAGGCGCATTTTTGAGTCCAGCAATCACTGCAGAAACGAGAAAATGACTGTATCCAGATTGAGTATAGATAGAACAGTCAACCATACCCAAACTAGATACAAGCAAGGTCGTCTGTCTAAGTCCAAAACATGTATGAAAGGGCTCACTGCCCTGCTGCTAGTTCCGAAGTTCCTTCATAAGAATAAGTACCTGCATGGTGTATTGGCGGATTGCCTCATTCATCAATACCTAGATATTGTCTTAAAACTGCTTAAGGAGGCTGCTCTACATGGCATGATGCTCTCAGATCCCATTAGACAGAGCCACTATTGTTTCACTCCACTTGCAAGTTATATTGTCAATACTCCTGAAGCCATGATGTTAGCCTGCATCAGTGGAAAGTCACCATGTACAAACAATTTGGAGATTCCTTTTACCATGAACCTCATATGGCATCAATCACTCTTGCACAAATATCTGTTATTTGCACATGAGCTGATCCATCAGATCTACAGGCCTTCTTTTGTGAAGTGCAAAAATTCCACTTGAATGGTGTCTTTGAGCCATTTTGGCGGGACTGGGTGCTTACAGATCCCTCCTGTTTCTTCACACCTGAGACACTCCATGTCTATTATGAGCCTCTTCTTATAACCCCACCTTGCGCTTCTCCTGCGCTTCGCACCGCTTAACCGCTCCATAATGCACTCTGCGCCGCTCAAGCACTCTATATCCGTGCTCGCACCTCACACACTTTCCCACACTTCACATCAGCCGACGAGCGGCACCCTCCACACCAATCCCTAGATCTCTGCTGCACTTGCTTCCCCTTTAGGGTCAAATGCTCTTGTCACTACAAGCATAGCAGCTTAGGCAAGCAAGACCCAACATATAGTTCAGTATAACACCATCTGAATTGTTGTTTCTACACCGGATCCACCCAAACAAGAGCACAAAAAGAGTAAAAAGGGTGAAAGACATGAGGGGAGACTGCCAGGGGGGAGTGAGGCACCTGGCAGAGGCAGTACTTTCAATTCAAACTCAACTATTGAACACATAGTTGTGGGGCTTCAGAATAGCCTCACAGTGGCACTTTCTCGACACAGACTCAAAGCTAATCGAGCAAATTGTGTATGGAGTGGGGTGCACTCAATCACTGCAATAAAGGGAGAAAATATCTCCCACAAACCTGACATTGTTATGTCAGATCAGGGAAGTGTGCTGCAAAATCCTTTAACACCAAGGCACATATGTATTATCTTGAAGCACCAGCCCTAGAGGCACTTCACCCTCATGCTATCTCTATGTAATCACTATCATGAACTTCATGTCCACATATACGACCACTCTTGTTCTGCTGTATCACCTTCATTCCATATTGACTGACAGAAGGACCAATTTCTGCAAATCCTCTCATCTATTGTCTTTGGCAATGATGAGTGCATCGGTTTTGATATGACAATGAACATTTGACAGCTTGAACTCCCTATACTATCACGTTATTCTCGTCCTCTTCAGGAGATTGCATGCTCTGACAAAGAGGGTCATTACTCATGGTACATCCAGTACATAGGCCAAGTCAGAAGATATGGCCTCAGGTGAGGAGTTAGGTGAGTCAGATGAGGACTCAACAAGTCAGGCGAGTCAGATGAAGCTTCCAGCCAGGAGTCAAGATATGAGTCAGCTTCATCATACAAATCTTCACCCTCACAGACTTCCAGTGATGATTGCCCATCAAGCATCTTCTCCTCCTTTGAGCTACATAGATGAGCAGCCTGATATCAGGACTGGTCCTCCTGCACTCCCCTCTGAGCTAGTTCCTTTCATTGCCCAAACTTCTGTTCCTCTAAATTTGTCACCAATCAGTAAAATTCAAGTCAACGACAACTGGTACAATATCCTGGAGGTCATATTTTCAAGTCATAGCCTGGTTGGTTGGTCATGACACTGTTTGCTACTTGGCCAGGAAGGATGACCAAGAGTACATCATCAAGGTCCACTGGGTCCTTGGAAATGCAGATGATGAAGATATCTTAAATGAGGTCATTATATTGAAGAAGATGCAGGGTGTCTGTGGTGTCCTGGAACTCATAGAATTCAGCAAAGTTAAGCTGTTGACTGGTGAGGTTGACAATACACTGATTTACTGCTATCAAGAGCTGCCTAGCATAGTCAACACTTGCCACACTCATTTTTGCCTCATTATGAAGCCCTGAGGGCAACCTTTACATAAATTTCAAATGAAGTTGGAATCTATTTAAGCTATATGTGACATCATGACCAGTAAGCATATCTCTCCTTCCAAATATACATATAGTATGTTGATACTAACCAGGAAGTGATCTCCCAGTTCAACAGGAAGCACATGCATGAGGTATTTCCATTCATGTCACAGCAGCTCCTTTTGGCAATTGAATCCGTCAAGCAAGACTATTTCAGATGATCTTGAATCACTGTTTTACATCTTTTCTTTGGTCTGCATTGGATGCAGTGACACACTTGGCATGGAACACCATTTGAACACTGAAAGCATGGCTTCCACATGCATGGAGCAACCGGAGTATTGCTGGATGCTTTAATACCAAAGTGTCATTAATGACCAACTCACAAGCTTTGGTGCAATGGAATATATCAGTCTCATTTACCGATGGCTGCAGAAGACGAATTAGGTGGCAAAATTCTGGGCATTCAATGATATTGATTGCCTGAAGAAAATCACTAACCATAGCACATAGAAAGTGCAATCGACTCACCTGATCGTCAGCAATAATGAATTTGACAATGTGTTTATGCATCTCATTGAGAGTAAACACAGGCAATGTATCATCTGGAGTCGGCAGGCTGGTTCCAGGGAGTGAGACAGGACTAGGGAGAGTACCGAGTGACTCTAATGTGCAAGCCAGTGTGTGCGAGGAATGATAGCTAGATGAGAAGGGGTGAAAGGGGAAGAAAGGGTGAAGTGGGGCAAAACTCAAATAGACCTTTGGAGACAAGTATATGATTCAGCCCAAGGGGATTGCTACTGAGAACGATTCCTCTATGTAAAATTGGAGGGAAATCACTGTAACTAATAAGGGTGGTTGAGAATGGATGGAGTGCGAGGACTAGCACAATGCAATGCGAGCGCAAGTGAGCCGCCATTGACACGGTGCAAAGTGAGGTTGAGTGGCCAAAGGTACATTGACACGTGGTAATGTGTGGTCGTGTAGAAACTGGTATGCGGGCTCCGCGAAGTGTTAAGGCGAAGTGGCAAAAATGGTGGATTCGTAAGTAGCGCGATGGCTACTTTAGCAAGGAATTGGTGGGATAACACAGCCGGTAGGTAGACATGCATGGCGGATGATGCAAAGTTTAGACTTTAAGTTCGGACAAAAATGCGTGCAAGTGGATGATAATTCCAAGCAGGAGGTAAGATGATACATGAAATTCATAAGTAAGTATATATGAGAACGTGCCAAAGCGCTGTTCAGAGCCGAGTAGGTAGCAGTTGTAGGTAATAAGGGTCCATGATGAAAGTGATAGAGATATAAACGAAATAGCGTCGGAATAATGGTCAGTCTATTCCAAAACAAGTGAAATACACACCGATAGACCAGCGGAGGACAGGATAAGGACGCACAATGGAGCCAAGTAAAAGCCAGTATGGTCTGATACATGCGCGTGAGCCGCAACCATCAGCCGATAGCGGAAAAGATGTGGGCTGCGAGGACCTATGGGACGACACAAAAATAGCCTTTACAAGGCCACAAGGACTAAGTCCTACACCGGATCTTTCAGCCTTTGACACATGGTCGTGATTTACCAGCCTTCATTCAAAAGAGTCTTCAGTCGCGATGACTTATAGAGACATGCCAGTGCTGACACTCTGCCTCACTCCAGGTAAATGTCGGTGTATTCGGTGAAGGTGTGTGCACGACGAGTTGAGGTGCTTGTACTAGGAATGTATGATGTAACATGGTAATTAACATCAAGGTTGTGGATTTTTCTGGTGAAGAATGTCAGAAAGAATAATAGATTGCAGATACAATACTCACTCACAGGCTTTGTAGACATTGGAATGAGTTGTAGGGTCCTGTCTGAAGAAGGAATGTATATTGGCAGAGGATTTAGGTGGTTTTGCTTGGCCACTAGTGGTGAGAGGGTCGGTGATAGCCAGTACTCATAGTGGTCTGAAGTGGGCTGTTGCCTGCTGCAGGCCTTACTGCAGATGCAGGTGAGTTAACCATGTCATCTTCCTCATCCCCGGAGACATTCTCAAGGTGGAAGGATTCCCTTTCATCTCCATTGTTTTGTCTGAATCGGAGAGGAGGCTAACAATGCCTTTTGAGGATTGTGAAAAATATTCGCATTCACTGCAGCAGCCATGGGAGCAACAGTGATGGGAGCACCAGCAGGAGTGGAAGCATCAATGAAACCGGGAGTAACAGAAGCAGCAATGGGAGTAGTAGCAGTGGCTTTGGTAGCAAGCTGGGAAGTGTTCTTCCATCGAGGAGGCATGTCATTGTTGATGGTTGGTGGACGGTGGTGATAGCGATATATATTTGCCTGGGGAAACTCCAGAACATGCTGATGAATGTGCTCACACTAGGACTCACCACCTCTATGACAACCGAGGCCAACATGGATGATACAGAAGCCAAAGGTGGCAATCCCCATCAATAAGCAGTGCCAAGTCGTCGTTATTACATAGTATGACTTGTCTGCTGGTTGAAATCACCATGATGATTCATGCAACAGGTGTAACCTGCAGGCTACAGCATGTTGACATTGAGGGCGCTGCATGGGAGTTGAAGAAATCATATTACATAATACCAAGTATTATTATTGTGCATAGGCACTGGCAGCTGTGTCATATTGTATAGTATATACACATACAGTGTTTGTACAAAAATAGGAGGGGCCATTACATGGATGTAAACTTGCAATTATATTAATTCATATGACACAGGAACATAAATGAACTACTCACACAAGTTGATCTGTGAAGCGGTGGGCATGGAGGCACTGCCTCAATTACCCAAGGTTCATGGGATACTGAAGGGGAATTGTACATCATGCTGGTTGAAATCCAGCAAGCATGCAAGCTGGTACAGGTGATGTAGAACTGAGCATATGAAGTAATGAACGAAGGTGGTTATAATCAGGATCCTCTGAGAGCATGAGAGAGCATGTGTAAATGAGGATTGTTGCGAACTCGACAGGAATTCCACAACATAAATTTTCAATGGTAGTGTTCACCTTGCACTCAAGTATCAAAGAGCTGGAGAGTTTCTCTTCATTGCTGGTTAACCACGGAAGAGAGCCTTGCAAAAAGTAGATTAACATGTATGTAAGTGACTCAAGGTCATCATGATGACCCAGTTCGACTCCCAGGTGGTTGTTGATCAATGCAAAAGTAGGAGTGCCAGTGACACGTTGATCTTGGTGAAATGGAATATGAACACTGGTTGATGTATTCCAGAATTCCTTTGCAATGCCAAAATCGATAATGAAGGCAGTGTCCCTCAAATCACCAAGCCCCACTACAACATTCTGCGGTTTTAGATCACCATGAATATATTCAAGACGTGAGAGCTAGGGAAGTGGGTCAGCGATTTGCATGTGCAACAACCCACACACAACTGACCAGCTGGTCTCCTAGAGTAATATGGTATCAAGGCTGAATTTTTGGTTGTAAGGAATAGACTGTATAGTGATGGCCCAAGGAGGTCAAGAACCAGAGCGTGATACGTAACTCCCTACCAAACCAAAGGACATGGGGAATACCAACACCACCTTCGAGGTGTTTCAAAATTTTGTATTCATGCTGCACAGAAGATGAGTTGCTGATGGGTTCAAGTTTAATGGCAACTGCATCATCCTTGATGATGTTCCATGCACAATACATGACAGCTAAATGGAGTGCAAATGTTGAATTATCATGTAGCTGGTATTATGTGCATAATGTATCATATGAACTAGATCCCAAGACATCTCCTAACCTAAATTTTCCATCAACTCAAACAGAGGTCTTATCCATGGTGTATACAATAAGCAAAGAGTCAGGGAATCTAGCCAACACTGAGAGACAATAAGAAAAGTTCAATTCAACCGCCACACTCCTTGTGGTAGTGTTATGGTCTGTGTACTTCAGTCTCTTTCTATCTTGAGACCCAATAGCCAGGTAAGCTCTCCTAGGTTGTTATCTTGAACCTTTGTATTTGTTCTAGATGCTTCAAAGTCACTGCCATGTCGTCGACTGGTACTGTTACAATAGTGTCTTCTTCTTCTTCCCTTTGGTATGAAGTTGAATACTAAGCCTGAGAATATCAACCACTCGAGGATCTGCTACGACTGCACTAGTCTTTTAGGTGTGCCAGTCGCTGGTAGTCCTCATTGAATGCTGTGATCTTCATCTTTCAAGATGAGGAGAAGCTGGTTGAAATGGGTGAGAATGGGACACAAGGAGGAGATCCATCTGACTGTCTGAGGAACTGTGAAGCAAGTACTCTAGGGGAATGCCAATGGTCTACAATGATGGGAGAACATCCCATGAAAGAAATATACTAGTTTGATGACCTGAGACCACACTGTAACAACAAGTGATCTGCAGGAATGGCTAGAGAGAGTCTTAAGGGTATTCTTCACAACTGAAGATGTTGAGAAAGCATGAGCGGCATTGGTTGCTAGGATTAGCTGTGTAAGATCCAACATCATGGACTGTAGTTCATTGATAATGAGAGCTTGGGCTTCATTTGAGCATTTGATGATGATGGGGAATAGGGGACTATGCAGGCCTGTGTTATTGATATTAAGGCTACGATGAATGAGCTTTGTGAACAGATATAACAAGAATTGCTGAGCTCACCACTGTTCCTTAATGCCCATATCCTGCCCAATGAAGCATTTAAGGCTAATAGCTAGTCCTATGCTCATAACTGACCGTTCATAGAGACAGATCCAAATGTTCCTCGTAAAAAGTCGGAAGGACCCACACACTGGACAAAGGTCGTGAAGGTAAGCTTAAGGTAGCTACTGGTAAAGTTGACACTGATTGCAGAAGATCCCCATTGGATGGCTCACTAGAAGAAGACTGATGGCTTCCAGTAAGGCTTTGTGCAGTGCTGCAGGCACAATTCTCAGCATCTTGCCTTACACTGCAGGTATTTTCCCATGTTCCTCCACAAACATCCAAAAAAACATTAATTGAGAAGATAGAAATTTCCCCTCATTTTTCCTGTCAAAACATTGAAAAAAGTAATTCATGTTTCAATGATGTTCTGTGTGTGGGACATGATGCAAAAATTAATCATGTTCCTTCAAGGATAATGCTATATTTTTTTCCATGTATTGTCTTCTTGGAGGGTGCTCAATGTGTCCCCAAAGTCTCTGAGCTTGGTTCTAAAATGCAGCATCAGTCTGTCAATGTATCTCAAGGTATTTAGGAATTTGATGGCCCTCAGATACAATATCCATCCAGTAGTACATCCCCACTCCTAGCCTGAAGATGTAGCTGACAACATTATAGGTCAGCATCACAAGACAAATGAGTGACCTCATCTTCCTGACCCTACTTCCCTAGAGCTCTTATGTTATGTGACCAGGAAAAAGAATTCAATGAACAATAAGGATCTTAATGACATGCAGCAACCAGCTAAAGGCAGACATGGGCTAAAACACATACAGCTGTTAGCCTGGTCACAAGCCTGATATGGCGAAGCTTGTAAGTGTATTATCATTGGCTTTCTCTCATTATTTCCTCATACTTCCTGGCATCCAGTTATATAAGGATCTCTCGACATGGCGCTCAGGGTAAAGGTAGGCTCAAAGTTTTTATGTGATGGTGTGGATGAACAGATTTGTTGAGGTACAATCTCATGAACATCTAAATAACAAGGCACTGCAGGGAAAAACACAAAACTTTGCCAACCCTGCACTTTGTGATGTCATCATCACATTCATGCACACTGGCCCATATAGAATTATTCAAAGACATCTAGACATTTCCAGCAAGCAGTTGCCATTGTCATGCTTGACTTTAGTTTGTGCTATGGTATTTTCTCAATTTTATTTTTACATTTGACAACAGACTGACTTTTTTATAGTTCATTTGTGTTCTCAATGGCCTCATCAAAAAACAGCAGTGGACAATCATTCCATAAATTCACTATTAAGGAATATGGCCCAACCTACAAATCTGCACTAAAGTCACTCTAAGATATCATGCTACATAAGGAACAACAATGTCATTACCTAGTCTGCCATTCAAGGAGCCTATTCATCCTTTGTTGCACGGTAGGGCCAGGGACATCTTCAAAGATCTCCACAATGTTGTTCCAGAAGGCTTCATAATCAAAGTCGCCATCCACAGTGTACCACGATGAGATACCTGATAGAGCAAAACATACCTGCCATACAAAAGTTAGATGCTAGACATTCAATTAATAGATATCACGATCTGCTCACTTGACAAATGATGTATATGATAGCATGAGGTGTGACCTTTCTCATGTTGATGATCAAGGCAATGCATATTTTCACCTTTGTATGGTCTGATTTTTGCTGGGTGCACCTGGTGTTCTCAAGAATGTCAGCTCTATCACCATTGCCACCAGCTTCCTTCACAGAGGAAGGTGATGTAAAGATGGCCTTGAGTACCAAGCCAACTAATCAGAACCAAAAGCTTGGACTTGAGGAAACTTCCTTCAAGGTTGTCACAGTTGATTTTGTAGCCCTCATAAGTGAACATCAGCCAAGAGTTTTCCGACACAATGTAATTTGATGTTTGATCACAGATACCAGCATTCATGCTACCCAAACATCAGCATCATGCAATGCTTGACAAGTATTGGTGCTCACTGGTCATTGTTCCAGTCCCACTCAGTAGGGCAGAGCAATGCCCCACAGATATCACTTATAAAGCCTTGTGAGTACTTGTCATGAGGCTTGATCAGAGGAGATGGACAAAATTCCTGATTAACCTACACAGCAATGAGCTCCTTGAGGCAGAAGGTATCATTGCCACATGCAGCATCTGCTTCTTTTTTGAGCTAAAAGACAATTAGGGAAATTCTTTGCAAACAAATATTACATACCTTCTTCAACATATCTTTGGATTCTTCATGTTCGAATTCTCCAATCTTCTCTTGAAACCATGCAGTGTCTGCGAGAGTTCAATGTAGCCCCATTGCGTGTGATTCTGCCTGTGTGATAATACAATTCATAGAAATGATAGAGGAAACAGTCGATGACATACTCCAAGGTTGATACCACATCATCTGAGCAATGTTTGTACCTGCAATCATTCTCGTTGACCAAGTCCTCCAAACTAGTATAGAGGCAGACCATGTGACAAATGACCCTACCTTGTGCAATGTAATAGCTGGTCTTTCTTCAAGAATAAATTGATATTAGCAAGTGCTGACATGCACAAAGTATGTTTTGTACATGAACATGGCAAATATCTAGCTTGTAATACCCTTCATAATAGCCTATGGTTATGCCTAGAATTTTCTTTGTAGCATTCATAATTTAGTTGAGTATGTTCGGGCTCAAAATAAGTGCAACACTACTTAACTGTTAAGACCGTGCACAAAGGGTAGGACTGATTCTGAGGGGCTTGGCTTCAGCTCATGTGCTGCACCCCTTACCCAAGTATGTGCCCTTAATTTCAGAATGATGTCTGGAGGAAGTCCAAAGAAGTCCGAAGGAGCGCGGGAAATTTCAGACAGACATTCCAGATGAGTGCAAGTAACTTCCAGATGAGTGTGGGAAAGTTCTGGAGGAACTTCTGAAAATTACAATGAGGTTTCGTCCTGATACAGATATGTATAATGGCTACTTAGGACATGTCCTGAGTAGAAGCAAACAGAGGAAAGGCTGCAAGGACAAAGTCCAAAGCAGAATAGGTCTGGAGGACCGCAGGAAAGTTCTGGATGAACTTCTGGAAACTTTGGATGAGTGGAGGATTGGAGGAGCAGAGCTCTGGCCTAGGGAGTTTCTCCCTAGGCCCAAGATGGAAATTGACTAAGTTAGAAGACTAGAACTGATATGAGGACTTAGAGTGAGATCTAGTGCGAGGAATAATATGATATTCAGACTGAGGAACTACAGGACATATACAAGAGTTTATATACTAAGTGACTATCGGAAAGATCAATAAGCAAAGGTCTGAGGCTATGTATGAAGCATAAGCAAAGTTATCAAACGCGAGTCAGAAATGAAGCATAGGTTAACAGATCAGTAAGCATACCGGTAGTAAGTATAACCGAGGTACCAGGAACAAGGAATACCAGATAGGCTGTGTTAACGTTATATGCACAGGAAATGAATGAAGTAGCTTATCATATATCAGATCAGATCAGATATGGTCCGGACAAGATGCATGGATGTATGGAATATGACATTAGGGCGATAGGACAAAGGATGAATGAAGCAGGCTAGCTGTGGAGGTATGGAGGTCTTGTGTACGGAGGTAAAGGGATTTGAATGTGGATGTGCGGATGTAGATGTGCAGAGGTGCAGGGATCTGGATGGGTAGAGGACTGGAGACATGGATAAGGCGTCCAAAGGTCCGGATGAGGCATGGGAATATTGTTGGACATAGGGCCGGAATATTTGCACACTTCTTATTTTCTTCACCACTTTCCTAATGAAAGTCTATCTAAAATCACCAAATATGTCAAAATTGTATACATAGACAGGTGTCCACTATATGAAATGACTACACTTTGCAATTCAAACATGTCAAAACTGTCCACTATATCAGCCACTATACATTTCCTATGCAAATAAGCCAAAATTGTGTCCAACAAACAAAAGACAACACTTTTCAATACTACACTTTTCCTATACAAATAAGCCAAAACTGTGCCCAACAAACAAAAGACTACACTTTTTCAATACAAACAAATGTCCACTAATTTAACACAACACTTTCCTTATATGAATAAGCAAAAATTGTGTTCACCAAACAAAAAACTACACTTTTATGATACAAACAAGTATCTACCAATTCAACTCAACACTTTCCTTATCCAAATAACTCAAAAAATGCAATTATCACACATTCATGATCCTGATAAGTCAAATTAAATTTGTTTCATGATACATTGTCTACATTACTACACTACACTACACTACACCTAAACAAGGTCTTACACAAGTAAAGGTAGGCTTACTAAGTCCTGTATCTGCATTTGACTATGATGGCCTTATTGTCTGAGAAGTCTTAGAGTTTATGGATGAAAAATGAGTTAAGGAAAGTAAAGGCTAGCCTGATTATAAAATCCTACCTATTCTGTTTTTCTTTTTTCTTGGCCTTTGAAGAGGCCTTTGGTATAGGTGCTAGAGAGTTAAGAGATTGCTTCTGTGCAGCTCTAGACTTACAAAGCTTCTTCTTAGTAGGGGGGTGAGTGATAACATCATCAACCTTTTTAAGTTGCTCTGCTGCCCTTTCATTACCAGCATTTGTGTGCTACTGCATGATCTAAAGATCATAATTTTCCCCCCCTCAATTCAACTGCTAAGCCCTGTTTATATATTACTAATGTTCCTCCACAAAAATTTCCTATAGGCAGAACAAAACAAAACTTCTCATCCTTAGCATTACAGTAAACCACAGTACAAATGTTAGTATTCAAGATTAATAAGAAGAAAAATTAAATAGAAAAGAATTCTTATCCTGGAAGTAGATCTACTTCAACTGGAGGATAAGGTCATATCTAATTGTAGCTAACACTCCCCTCATTTATACTTATAAGCTAGTGGGAGGGGACATCCTTAAGAGCATCTTAACCCTAGTTGGCCTTCAGTATTAATAATTGCCATAACAATAGTTTAAAAGGACCTTTGTAGTATATCTGTTCCACCATAAGAAATGTATACATTCAAATATCTGGGTCTATATTAATCTGGGTATTAGCTGATACACCAGATACACCGGATACACCTACAGCTATTCTTGTAATGACAAAAGATTAATGCTGAAAGATATTTTTACTATGAAAACAAGATATTAAATTATTTATAAGATAGTCCCAGATATGAGTGAGCAATGCTCTACATATAAATGTCATGAGAGATTTGTTAGAGTTTTGGATATCCAAAGTGCCTCTTGCAGTAATATTAAGTAAGAAATAAAAGTAGGTAGTATAGTAGGAAAACTCACTTTGAAACAATAGTGCTAGGAATCTTAATATAAAAGTCTGAAAGCTTACAGCCATCTTGATAGAAATCTGCAAGCTAAAGAGGTATCAGCTAAGACTGACAGAATACCCTATCACTCGCCTTGTTGACCAAGTCTTCAACATCCTTTACAATGGTGGTGGGCAATACCCGCAAACAAACTGTCCAGCTTATATAAGCAAAAAACCCTATGTCTGCAGAAAACACGGTGTCAGGGTGTATAATAGTAATTACAGCTACTATTACTATGAAATGTTAGTATTTATGTTACTTATAACTATTCTACTTGTATAGTGACTGTAGTAGGTGTGGCAGTATGTACCAATGTATGAGTAAAAGTGTAATTAAAGGTTGTTGTTGAATTAATATGTTAATATTTGACTTGAGAATTGATTAAATTGAGAAAATTAACTTTGTCGTCAAGTGATTCACCATGCCGTCGTGCTTTGTAGTGCTCGACAACCAATAGCAGCACCTGCAAGTGAGCATGCTTACTGCTAAAGTGAGTTTTTTTTCAGGATTATCTTCTCCTTACCTAGGCAACAGTGAAGCTCGAGCTGATCTTTGATAGGCTGATCAAGCATTGTATTGAGCAATGCATCGTCAACAATGATTTTGAGCACAGAAAAGTACTTGGCAATGGAAGCCTTCTTGGTGTGGCGTTCTGCTTCCTTCTTGTGATTCTCCTCAGCAACCGTCTTCTTGTACTGGATGACAGTGTCTCGTTGGTGCATCTCAATTCCACTGGCATCGATTTGGTGAGCTTCCTTCTGTATATGTGCATGATCTTCATCAATAAACAATGCATTCATAAAATCTTTGCGTTTCGTTGTGTGTGAAGGCTGCCTGGTTTGAAAAATGACCAACCGTAAGACTTGGCTTGTCACACGAGTGTCTCCGCCACATCCCAAGTATCCCCTCATTCACATCATTGGTGATGGGCATTGCTGTGAGCTCATGTTCTTCAGCTGACGACAAGGCTATTAGGCCACCTGCAGCAAACTCCTTTGTAAATTGTTCCCATGTTTCCAGCGCACCTCCCAAAAATGCGACAAAGACTTCTATAAGGTGTGGGAGTGTTCCTGCATTATGCATATCTATGATGGCTTGGATCACAAGCAAGTCATCCCACGGCTTCTTGTCAAACGTGGCACAAAGGTAAGAGTCTGGATGAAAATCAAAGATGACAGATGGCTTATTGATGATGGTTTTGATGTGATTCTTAAGGTCGTCATGGAGAAGGCTCAAATTGAGAACATTGAGGTCTTCAGTTCCAGGTGCACGAACCAGCCGCATGTAGGGTTTCGTGATCAACTGACTGTACAGTGTTAAGGCAGCTAATTCTACCAGTGTAGCCATATCATGAAGAGCTTTGTCAAGATTCTCTTCCATGTGGTTCAGGTGCGCATTTGTCTTGTTGTTGCGAATGAAGTCGAGGAAATCGAGGTAATGTTTGAGATATTTAATCAACTCAGTAGCAGCATCACAATGAGAGTGATAGCATGTGTTACTGGTGTCAGGAAACTTGTTCAATGTGCCCATGACATTGCCTTTAACCTGTATGAAAAAAAACTGATAGATATCTCCCTGACCCTTTTTGTCGTCTTTGTGGTTGAACAGTGCGCCTACAATGCTTGCCACCTTGACCCCACCATGGGATGACACCTCGAATGCCCACCTCACAGCTGCAGCTGATGTATCAACCATCTCGACTAGCTGTATTGTCGCTGCGTTATCCTTGTTTTCCAAGAGTACAGGTGCAGGAACACCATTATCTACCCACCATTTCATCATGGTGACATTTCTTCCCTTGACAGAGTTAAGCTCTTTATGCATTGAGCAGCCAGCCCAAAAGAAAAACTCTACTGATTGGTGTTCATCATCCGGTAATGCAGCTAGGATCCCCTCACCGAAACACAGTGCAAGTCCTTCAATCATCTCTGTAACATAAGGCTGACGTGAATCCACATCCAATGCATCCCATTTTTCACTTCCTCCGAGAGAGTTGATGATCTCCTGTGTTGCCTGGAGAAGGATGGCACAAAGATCATTTGGTGCGTCACATTTCATCTTCTCAATATGCTCAAAGCCATAGGAAGTGCATAAACATGATGCTTCCATTCTTTCCACAGGCGGCACATCTTCTTTTGATCGCTTGCATGATCGGTGTGCATCCCTTTGAGTTTTTTTAAGAAGCTGTCAATGTCCAGTGACAGACCTGAGCGCTTTGCAAATGGACTTTGTGAGAATGTCAATGACAGGTGAGAAATCTCTTCCTTCCATCCGCTGATTTGAGTTTCACTAGTGTGATTAATAGATGAAGATACGGAAATGATGCGGGCATGGTGCTTCTGTTGGGATGCAGCAGTATAAGAGGGGTCTTGAGCTCGATAATGCGTGACTCATAATTAACATTCTTGTGAGTTGTCCCATCACCACCTATTGTTAAGCCTGTTGAAAAGTGTTCATATGTCATTTTTGTGTCATTTGACGATAAACTTACCATAAGCTTGAGAAATTTCATAGCCAAGCTGAATGCTTGTTGCAATCCCTCCTTCAATTAGGGCTTGTGAAACTGTGTGGCGGATCATGATGTGGCTTGCAGAAACTCCTGCAAGTATCCTGATTTTCTGAATTACTCTCCCAATCAACTCCTGTGAGCATCTGGTGCATACAAGATATCTCGCGAGGCTCCTGGCCTCAACTGTGTAGGCCCTTCTATGCATAAGTTTGAAGGTATGTGGTTTATTTCTGGATAGCGCAGCTTTGATGGCACACATTGCATTACGCTGAGAATGCTTGCACAGGGCAAGGACATTTCGTTGACACCCAGACAGCTCTTCCGCAAGTTGAGAGCACTCGGCTTTCCATTTTTCTGCTATTTCCTCCATCTTGCAAGCCTCCTCTTGCAGCTTACACTTTAGTTTAAGAAATTGAGTTGTCTTTTCCTCGAGGTCTCCATGTGCACGAGTGAGCTCATCAGATCTATCCTTTACAGTTCCCTTCCACCTCACAGCATCCTGCAATGCTTTGACGAGTGCAACTTTGGTGCACTTGACCTTCTTTTGCTCGTAACCGAGGACCTTCTGGTAATGTTTGACCTTTGTATAGGCGGTTGCATGAGCTTCGCGTACTTGATGCAACTGGTCCTGGGTGCATACAAGCTTCTCATTTGAAGCAGCCAATTGCTTCTTGAGAACCTTGACCTGCTGTGGGAGCTTGTGAAGGAGAGTCATGCCTCACAGGTGTGGTATGTTCTCCTTGTTATGATGACACTTGCGAGCATGCTTGAGCTGATCCTTGAGGGCTTTGAACAATGTTTTTTTGAAGGTCCATACCGGGAAGGGCACCCCATTATTCATTCAAAATTATTAAGAAAGTGAATATATCATGAACAACCCATTAGAATAATTATCATGGGCTCTAGCAACAAGTTGCAACACATCAAGCACATCAAATGGGTCAATGTTAGCACTTATGGTATATCACATTTATGGAAAAACGTGCTTGTGGCTGAGGTTTCATGTGTTTAAGGGGCTATTGCACTCTGATAGACTTGTGTACCGACCTCTTCGTCCTACCACTTTGCTTCACGCATAACTTTTAACTATATCACCTCTGCGCACGACCGTACAAGAACAGAATTTCTATTACTGGTCATTTTCCTACCAAACTACTCCCTACATACCCTGTATGTTGCCCAATAATGATCCAAATAAAATTCTGTTCTTGTAGCAACATTCAAGATACCAGTTCTAACACTTTTCTCTGCAAGACCACCTCGTTTTTGTTGTGTTTGCAGTATGCAGATGCTGGAGTCGTTCTAAATATATATTTGGCTGTGGTGGTGCTGTGGGAATGGGACAGGTCTTTGGTGGTATTGCCCACCACCATTTACAATATGTTTCTCTGCTTTGCCATGTTTCAAATCTGTCTACTCAATATTAGCAGTGCAATTACAACTACCTAGAAAGATAGTGTTCTGAGGCAACACACACTCAAAATAAGTTTTTATACCAAAAAATTATATATCTTTGATAGCTTCTTCATATTGTGGCAGGGATGGAGGTATTTGTAATTGCATACCAACTTGCCATACAGTTTGGTCCTAGCTGAGTAGCCTCAAATTGCTGGAATAAGTTTAAATCCTTCAAATATTGGACCCAGGAAATATGATGAAAGACTTACTTGCTCTTGAAAGCATTAAAGCACATTTCAGAGACTACAAGATCTGAGACATTCATAAAGCTAGAAAGACCACATGTTCCTCTGAATTGTGGATCAAACAGAGTATCAAGCTACACAGATAGCATTTTACTTAAAAGGGTGATCATAGGTATAATTCGATTTTTGATAAGATTTGGGGTCTCTAGCAAAAATCAATAAGAACAATCTAACAGATAGAAGAGGAGGAGAACACAATTAAACTCTCTGGTTGTCTTAGCATCTTTCCAATCTCCTAAGACATCTTTCTTATTAATTTGGAGACAACCTACTGCAAATCCAAATCAGCAATAATTACAAGCACATATATTAACCCCTCTCCAGCAATTGCTGCAAACTTATGGCTGATAGTATTCTAATAGTCAAAAGTGTATGCTGCAGGACATTTGTTAATGTAAGTAACAGTCACTTTGTTAAGTTCTTCAAATATAGAGATATGACAACAATGCCAAGAATTTAAAATGTAAGTCAACATTAGGCATAAAATACTTGATTGGGCATAAAGCTTACTTCTGACTCTGGATTGCAACTTTTATGTAGACAATCATAGATTAAAACTCTATAGCAGTACTATTTCCAATGTGGGTGTCACATTATTAGAGAGTGGTATAATGATGAGTTCAACATTGGGCTCATATCCTACCAAATTCATAGATACCTTATATAGCATTCCTCCCTTAACCTTCTGAAAGCTTCATATATGCATCTGAGTTGTCCAAAGGCAGTCCATCTACTTCTGAGGTCTGTTTCTACTTATAATTCACTATACCATATTCTGTCCTTATTTATTTGACTTTGCTGGTGTGTCTTCCATCTTATCTATCTGGTATTAAATATATCATAGGAATAAATATGAATATTCTCATCAGTGACCTATCAGAAGCCTTGATTATTTGAATAATATATATAGCAGCTTACCTCATGCCTTATTACATGCTTATCTACTTAGTGGTTTGCTTCTGTCTTATTACATATATGTGGGCTTATTTATCTTACTACTATTCTTATTTATGCATTCTGGACTTTCACATTGTAGGATATAATCTCGCTCACTAGCTAATTCATATGGCACTTCACATCTCTTATTATAAGTCATAGTTAGTAGAGTCATTCTTGGGCAGCTATACTTTATACAATCAATCTTTTGTTTATTCAGACTTTGTATAGCCTGTACTTTGGTACTCATGCTAGTCTTATAGTTATTCAACACATCAACAACCCTGCTATACTTAGTCTTGAAACTCTTACTATTCTTTCACAAGTCTTTCACTGCAGGCATTTCCCTATGTTCCTGCACCATACATCCAAAAAACATAAATTGAGACGATAAAATTTTCCCCTCATTTTGTCTGTCAAAATATTGAAAAAAGTAATTTATATTTCAATAATTTTCTGTGTGTGGGGCATATGCAAAAATTGATAATGTTCCTTTAAGGATAATGCTGTATTTTCCATCTATTGTCTTTTAAATAACAGCTTAAAATAATGTTGATTTTCTTCCCTGTGTTTTTCAAATATACACAAAATATTTGACAAACATGGAGAAGAAATTTGACATTATTTTAAACTGTTATTTAGAAGACAATAGATAGAAAATATAGCATTATCCTTGAAGGAACATCATCAGTTTTTGCATCATGTCCTACCCATAGAAAATCATTGAAATATGAATTACTTTTTTCTAATGTTTTGACAGACAAAATGAGAGAAAAATTCTATCTTCTTAATCAATGTTTTTTTGGATGTTTAGTGAAGGAAAATGGGAAAATGCCTGCAGTGTTTGGTCCTGCATTCTAAGGTTGCACCCTCTAACCTAGCATGTGTGTATAGGCCACCCTCTTCTTTAGTGTCTAATTCAGCCTGAACTCTATTACAAATGCAGCTAAGAGTAATAATGGATCATATTAACAAGTCACCATAAGGCTTACATCATGAGATTTTCATATTTTTGCTTATTTTGCTTAGGATTGCAATGATAAGAATCACATATACCCTTTATCAGTATCTGTTTTTAGATATTTGCATGAAGTATTTCACAATTCTCATAATGGCTATAATAAGCTATTATGGCATAGACTTTTTTTTCTGATGCATGACCCTCTTCACCTGGTGACTAGAGTGAGAGCTCATGATTCACCTACTCTGCTTGTCTGCTTAGTTTATTCTTA